TGGTATGCTCGGCTCTGCTTTGTTACAGCCTTGAACTTTTTGGCGCCTGCCGTGATTACATTCTTCGACGTTGTCTGCAGAGGCTTTGTGTTGGAAACTTCCACCTCCACAGGGACCGTTGCACATCCGACACGGTCAAACGTGACCATCTGCACGGTAGCCATGATAAAAAGGCAAACCAGCCAACACAGCAGCTTGAATCCAGGATTTCCAGTGGTCACATAATTGCCAACTTGAAGGGGCCATCTGGCAACACAGTGCCTGTTTCGACCAAAACGCTTACAGGTAATGTGAGCACCTAAGCACGAACTCGCACGCATGCGCGCCAAAAACATACAAATTGCATCCCAACTGGCTCGATCGCAACATTACTTACACCAACCACCGCTGTAGGTAGACACAACCATCCGTGACCGACCTCACAGATTGACTGCGTACCCTATGAGTTTTTTTTCTAGTGGACAGAACTGTGGACTCAAGAGAACGCAAACGCAACACTCAACCACATGCGATACTGGCACGCTTAGGACTGAGAGAACTCCAAGGAACAAGACGGGCTCACGAGGGCTCAAGAACGACTGCAAGCGCGCCCACGAGCGCTCCAGGTGGGTCCCACAGTTGACTTCAAGGGCTCTAGAGGGGCGGCGCTAATCGAAAACACCCTCTGCTTTGATCGATCTCCTCGACCAAGACGGTCCAAGCTGGCTGAAGATGGCCTCCAACATCCGTGTCTGGATAGGCGGGTAGGGATACTTTTTGGTCCGCGGCTCCGAGGCGAGAGACAGGGAGCGAGCACAACGTCCGGGGCGCGGTACGTCATTCATTGGCGCGAGATTGCCGCGGATTCCAGCGGACAACACTCGCAGCGGCACCCGGTAGGGATACGCAAAACGTCAAGAATTCTGAGAGGTCCTGGGTGCTATTGGCGTGTCTGGGGCCCGTCCTCCTCCTCCTCCTCCTCCTCCTCCTCCTGCCCCTCCCCCTCCCCCTCCTCCTCTTCCTCCTCCTCTGCCTCCTCCGCCTCCGCCTCCTCCGCCTCCGCCTCCTCCGCCTCCTCCTCCTCCGCCGCCTCCTCCTCCGCCTCCTCCTCCGTCCCGTGTGATCTTTCCCGCGACCGTGGACGTGTCGTTGGGGTCCACGCTTCCCACGTGTTTCAACACAACCCTGTAATGGGTCCGTCTGAGGCTGGCAAAATAATTGAGCAACCTGTTTCGTATTTCGTGATGTTCGCATGCTCGCCTGTTCGGCCGTACGAGCGTCCAGGACGGCGCAAGAAACACACAATATGGCACCAAGACGGCCCCCGAGCCCTCAAGAGTGGCCTGAGAAGCCGTTAAAAGGGAACATCAGAAACTCGAACTGATAAGTAGGCAATCCAGCCCGAGATGGTCTCTGGGACCGCCAGCAGGCCCCGAAGCAGCGTCCGAGCGGCCCGAAGGCACCTCCCCAAAGGCCTTCTATCAACACGCCTCTACGATAGCGTATACGCGGTGCCCACGACCCAGGACAGGCAGCGGACTGGGACGAGTGACGAGTGCGTGTGTGCCAACAGCTGTAGAAGACGAAGAAGCAACTGCATAACACATAAACTTTCGACAGTCCGCGCGGAGTTCTTGGATCTGCGCTGGACCCCCCTCACTGGCGCGCGGAGCGCGCCAGGCGCGGCGCCAGAGGCGCCGCCAAGGGGCCCAGCACCGACCTAAGAAATCCGCGCGGAGCTCCAAATGTTTTGTTCATGTCGTTTGTTTCTTCTTCGAAACTGTGCGCATTAGGGGGCCACACGCGAACCCTACCCCTAGCCCCCACGATTTCTGAGGGGGAGGGGTAGGATTCACATGTGGCCCCCTACGCATGTTCACACCCAGTGCTTGCTCTAAGGGGTTCTGACTCGGGGGCGGCCAAGAGGGGGGCGTCCAAGAGGGGGGGGCGCAAATCATGGCCGGTGGCATGTGCGCGGCCCAAGGGGTGGGGCAAAGGATGCAATGAAATAAGAAGATGCGCCATGAAATCTGCGGAAACACCATGGCCCAGCTATGATATCCACCTCCCCCCAGTCACTCACCCCCCTCTTTGCCGCCCGCGACCGACTTGTACTACCTCAAGAATTGGATGGGTCCGCCAGGGTGTCGCCTGGTGCCCGCCCAGTTGGTGGCCGGGCGCGTGCTCCTCGTGCGCGCTGGGAGCCGCCAAGGTCTCGCCCCGTGCCCCGCGGGTGACCAGCCGCGGGCGCCACGTGCGCTGGGTGGCTTCGCGGGGGTTTCGCCTGGTGCCCGCGTGTAACCTCGTGGGCGCCTCACGGGTGTCTCGTGGGCGGCCGCGTAGCTTGCACCACATGGTTTGCGCGGCATATATATATATATATATATATGTATACACATGGATTGCACCAGTTTGCAGAACACAGATTGCACCACATAGCTTGCCCCACAACTATTGCACCACAGAGTTGACTCAACTAAGCTGACACTATACACAGCATATCTTGCACTGCCCAACTCACGCTCTTGGCTTACATCACTTAGCTTGCACCAGATCTAGCGTACACCACATAGCCTACACCGCACAGCTGGCACTGGTCGAGGGTTCACAGGCCCCTCCCCCCCAGATGTGACCGGTCCCAGCTCCCACAGGACCCCCCCCCACCACAGATGGGATTTGGGGGGGCGACGACGCCGACGCCGACGCCCACGGACGACGACGCCGACGCCGACGGACGACAACGCCGACGCCGACGCCGAATCACCCCACACCCACAGGCGGACGGAGGGGTGGTGCACTGGTACCCTCCACCATGCCACGCGCACAGGGCTACGGCCACCAGGGGGGGCGGAGCGCTACCCATTCGCGAGGTCTTCGCGAGGCACACGGACGTTCCATCCAGCCGGGGGGGGGGGGCCGGGAGGGCTCGATCCTAATTTGCTTGTGGGGGAGGAGGGAGGGGGGCACCCCGGACCATTGCTAACGACACACGGGGTCCAAGGGCTGCCCGCCCCCTCCCCCTCCGCACTGCCCCCTCCCCTCCCATCCCCCCCCCGGGCTTGCCCCCGCAGTACCCCCTCCCCCCGACAGGGTGGTGCTGCTGGGCCCCCCTCTCCCCTTGTGGGCGCGGGGGCCGCCAAGAGCGGCCCCGCAATCGTCGTTGTGGTGGCGGCGGCCCTCGTCTTCCTGGTCGTCGCCGTCGTCGTCTTCGTCGTCGTCGTCGTCGCCGCCGCCGCCGTCGCCGTCGTCGTCGTCGTCGTCACGGTCGTCGTCGCAGTCGTCGTCGTCGTCGCCGTCGTTCCTAACCCCTTCTCTACCAGCTAAGAGTAGGACGTAGGGTCGTCGTCGTCGTCGGCGTCGTCGCCCCCGCCCCCCCACCCCGCGGGTGTGGGGTGGTGCGGTGGCCCCAGGTGGGTGTGGGGGCCGCCAGGACGAGGCCCCGCGATCGTCGCGGTGAGCCGTCGTCGCCTTCCTCGTCATCGTCGTCGCCGCCGCCGCCGTCTCCCCCTGCCTCCCTCTCCAAGCTGGAAAAGGCTGGATGCTCGTTGACGCCGTCGTTGTCGCTGCCGCCGCCGCCGCCGCCGCCGCCGCCGTCGTCGTCGTCGTCGTCGTCGTCGTCGTCGTCGTCGTCGTCGTCGTCGTCCTCTTTTTCGTCGTCGTAGTCTTTGTCGTCTTCGTCTTCGTGCTCGTCTTCGTCTCCGTCTTCGTCGCCGTCGTCGTCTTTTTCGTCGTCTTTTTCGTCGTCGTCGTCGTCGTCGTCGTCGTCGTCGTCGTCGTCGTTGTCGTTGTCGTCTTCGTCGCCGTCGTCGTCCGATCTGGGGGGGGGGGGGGGCACGGGGCCAGGGGAGGAAGCGGCGACCCGGGGTCGGCGCTGCATCGCCGACAGATCGGCGAGGCGCCGCCGACAGCAACCCCGCACGCTCCTGGGCGCGTCGAGCCCGCATCGGCGATCAGTGGGCGACTGGGGTTGTGTTGCTCCCGTCGTGCTTGGGGGCCACGTCCCAGGCATGATTTCGAGCACCCAGAAAAATATCGGAACGGTGTCGAAGAGGTATCGCCTCCCAGGGCCCGACACGTGAAAACCCTCCAGCTTCGGTACTTTCTTGGTGCTCGAAATCCTTTCTGGTGGTCAAGGTTCAAGTAGGTTGGAACAGCACGAGACTGGGGGTCGATGCATCCCCCCGTGAGCATTTCCCCCCAAAGTTGCCCCTGACATATGCTTTCTTAGAAGCACGCAGGCAACGGGCCTTGAAGGAAACGGTTTCTGGACATCAGGGGTCTTTCCCCTGACAGTCCCAGGGCCCGTAGGGAGGGCTCCAGGAGGCACAAGCACGGCGGAAAATCCCAGGACCCGTTGCCATCAGGACCCGTAGTCTTGATGGCGGTATTCGGCGGCGCGCCCGGGGGGGAAGCGAAATGGGGCAGGCCTTCTCAGAAAGCGGCGGGGCTTCTCAGAAGCTCTCTGGCCTCTGTCTTCGGAGAAGGCTCAGACAACTTTTCGGAGGAACGACAACTACATAAACGCAAACCTTCGGAACCCCGCGCGGATCTCTTGGCGCTCCGCGCGCCAGGGAGGGAGGGGGGGTACAGCGCCGATCCAAGAAATCCGCGCGGAGCTCCGGCAGCTTATTGTTATGCAATGTTTCGTTCCTCGACTCAGAGGGCCGAGGCCTTCCGAGCCATCTGAGAAGGCCCGCCTCCTCTGCACTCTCCCGTGGGCTCGCCGTCGAAGCATCATTACTCTTCTTCGGTCGGGGATCTGCTGACCCGGGTCAATGCAGACCTGGATCAGTCGGGCCTTGCAGGATCCTGCAAGATCCTGCGGGATCCTGCGCACGAGCCCTGGTCAGTGCACCCCTGGCCCTGCAGGATCCTGCGAGCTCTGGCGCTCTGGCGGAACCCCGTTTGCATCGCCCCCCGTCTCGCGAGCCCCGATTCGGGCACCGCCCGCCGTCGCGGGGCGGGGGCCCTTCGACGACCCCCCCCCCCTTCCGCGCGAGAGCGCGAGTGCGCGCGCGCGCCTCGACGGCGACGCGGCTCACCTCCTGCGCGAGGTCGTGGGCGACCTGGCGGCCGCCGGTGCGCCGTCTCGCGGCCTCCGCGCCTCGGCTCGGCTCGGCGCAGCGAAGGCATCGGGCTCGTCATCGGGCGCACGCTGAGGTGGGCTCGTGATCCGTTGATCTGGCGCGGGGGCGCCAGATCCACGGAGGGGGGAAGGTAGCCTCAGGTCGGGCATGTCCTCCTACAGGAGGATTTTGAAGGAAAAATGAACAATAGTCAAACACATGCAGAAAATGCACAGACATACTAACAAAAATCGTCCCTGAACTATTTTTTGACTATTCCTCCTGTCGAGGGACAGGCCCGACTTAAAGGTAGCCCCCCCCCACACGAGGCCGGTGCCGTGGCGTCTGGCGGCAGCGCGCGCCGATCCGTCCGTGGAGACGGGGCCCGCCGCTCACCCGCGCCGCCTTGATCCATGCTAGCGCCCCCCCCCGATCGTAGCCTGTACAACTCCGCGCCTCCTCCTCCTCCTCCTCCTCCTCCTCCTCCTCCTCCTCCTCCGTCCTCCTCCTCCCTCCTCCTCCCTCGTCCCTCCTCCCTCTTCCCTCCTCCTCCTCCCTCGTCCCTCGTCCCTCGTCCTCGTCCCTCCTCCCTCCTCCTCCTCCTCCTCCTCCTCGTCCTCCTCCTCCTCCTCCTCCTCCTCCTCCTCCTCCTCCTCCTCCTCCTCCCTCCTCCTCCTCCTCCTCCTCCTCGTCCTCCTCCTCGTCCTCCTCCTCCTCCTCCTCCTCCTCGTCCCTCGTCCCTCGTCCCTCGTCCCTCGTCCTCGTCCCTCGTCCCTCTCCCTCTCCTCCTCCTCCTCCTCCTCCTCCTCCTCCTCCTCCCTCCTCCTCCTCCTCCTCCTCCTCCTCCTCCTCCTCCTCCTCCTCCTCCTCCTCCTCCCCTCCCCTCCCCTCCCCCTCCCCCTCCTCCTCCTCCTCCTCCTCCTCCTCCTCCTCCTCCTCCTCCTCAAAATCTGTCGAGGTTGTAGGCAGTCTGGACCAGTCTATAGGTCTGGATAGATATGTTTGAACACTCTGGAAGGTCAGGGTCTTTCCCCCCTTGGAGAGGAGAGACCGGGCTTGCCCGGGGCGCCGAAAAGGTGGGGGGGTGGCATCCAAGCGCTGGCCCCCCCTTCTTGCCAGGGCCCCCCCAGCTGCCGCGCCCGCGCAAGAGGGCGGGGGGTGGCTCCGAAGCCCCCCCGCCCCCCCTCTTCGCAAAGGAAAGCCCAGGCTAGCCGTGGGAGCAGAAAAAACGATCGACCGCGAGCCCAGAAAGTATTATAGAAATGCAATGCGTGGCGACGCGTCAAGGGCGCCTGATTGGGGGGCGGGCGCATGCAATGCTGCAATGCTGAGTGCATCGATCTTGATGTACCGCAAGGAGGGCTGCGCTGTGCTGAGCCGTGCTGACTTGCGATGTGCCATGCCGCGATTGTGCTCTATGGCGCTGTGGATCGAGTCCTCCTCTGCATCCGAGTCCTGACCGAACTGATCAGGATTCAAGCTCGAGCTGCATGAGCACGCAGTAGCTGCCCCCGCGCTAAATGACAGGGGGACATGCCAGGAGGGCGCGCCGCGGAACGTCCCATCGGACGCGCCAGGGGACGTGCCAAGGGGCGCGCCGCGGGGGCGCGCCGCGGGACGCGCCAAGGGGACGCGCTACGGAACGCGCCAGTGGAAGCGCCGCGGGGCGCGCCGGGGAACGCGCCGCGCGACGCGCCAAGGTGACTCGCGCCACGGAACGTGCCATGTTGCAATGCTGAGTGCGTCGATCTTGATGCCCCGCGCCGAGGGCTGCGCTGGGGCCTCCGGGGGAGTTAGAAACCTATGTGTTTTTGCACTTCTCCCGCCCTGGGGCGTTAGGGGCGCCAGTGTTTTCCCGCTTGTCCCGCCCTGGGGCGTTCGGAACGCGCGCGTTTCCGCGCTTCTCCCGCCCTGGGGGCCCATGTGTTTTCGCGCTTGCCCCGCCCTGGGGCGCTGTGGGCCCGCGCGTTTTCGCGCTTGTCCCGCCACGGGGCGTTAGGGGCCCATGCGTTTTCGCACTTGCCCTGCCGGGGGGCGTCAGGGGTTATTACCTAACAGCGAAGACTGATAGGTTTCTAGTGGTGTCAAAAGAGAGCATCTTGACTCCCCAGGGGGGTCTGGGCGGGTGCCGGGGAGAAGCCTCTGAAGTCGTTTTAAGCAAACAGTTACACACTTCGTGGTCTTCGAGGTCCCAGAACTCCATTCCCGGGCAACATTCTGAACGCCCGGAGCCAGCTGTAGGCCACTTCGTGGTCTTCGAGTTCCCAGAACTCCATTCCTGGGCATGATTTTGAATGCCCGGAGCCAACTGTGGGCCACTTCGTGGTCTTCGAGTTCCCAGAACTCCATTCCTGGGCATGATTTTGAATGCCCGGAGCCAACTGTAGGCCACTTCGTGGTCTTCGAGTTCCCAGAACTCCATTCCTGGGCATGATTTTGAATGCCCGGAGCCAAC